GCCAACCCCCTCACATATGCGGAGGAGTGTTTACGCGGAGCTGTGCTGTGGACATTATGGACCCTCAGAAACTCGGTTGTGCGAGGGGGGGAGCAATTCACACCCCCGATGGTCTGCGCCGAAGTCAAGTACTCTATCAAGCAGACGCTGGCAACCGAATGGTCGCTTAAAGTGGTCAACAGAGGATTCGCTGCAAAAGCTCTTAAAAGATTCTACACACACTGGGGCTTGTTCACTGGTCTGGTGGAGATGTCTGTTCGGCCTGCTCACAATTTTCTGCTTCCAGGTTTTCATTCTCCTGTTCATTTCTGTTCTGCATAACACTGGAAGAATGAGGCAGTCCTGTTTCAACCGGACCTGCTGATAGACTTGAGATGAGATATGGACTTCAGGACCTGGACTGTATTGTACTGTAAGTGACTTATGGACTTGGACTGTACTGTACTGTAAGTGAATAGTGCCCATTTTTTGCTTCCAGTTTTTCATTCTCTTGTTCGTTTCTGTTCTGCATAACATTGGAAGAGTGAGGCAGTCCTGTTTCTGGGCTTGGCCGGTGATGTCTCGCCTCCAAACCGGACTGCGGAATCTTTGTCAGGGACGCCAGGCCCGATTCCTGGCTTTGTAATATACGGAACGCCGAGCCCGGTTCCCGGCTTTCGTTTAAAAAAAAGAAGAGGACAGTACCCCAACCCTGTAATATTAGCCTTGGGCACTGGGCCCTTAAAAAAAAAAAAAAAAAAAAAAAAAAAAAAANAAAAAAAAAAAAAAAAAGAGAGTTTTTTTTTTTTGTTGTTTTGGAGTGATGCTACCGCCTTCTCCCGAAGGTAACCAAAAAAACATATCCTGAGTACAGATGTACACAGGCCATATTGCCGGTCGGGTTCAGTCATGATGAGGGTGCGTTGTGTTCGGGAAAAGACGCGAGTGCCGCCAACTCGCCAGCCGTCCATCTATCTGCGCCTTCCGTCGACTTTCTCCCCTCCCCCCCCCTCCCCCCCCCCCCCCCCCGCCTCTCCCCTTTCCCCCGCCGGCTTTGCTTGGGAAGATGCATTTTTCTTTTTCTTTTTCTTTTTTTTTTTAATTTGGAGGGTATGCGTTTTTTATTTATTTCCTTCGTCTTTTTTTATTTCGAGGCCGTGCCTTTTTTTTTTTTCCTCGCGTGGAGGGGATGCCTTGTAGAAAGTGAACCTGGTCGGATTTGCTAGCCCTCCGTCGAATAGAACTGACGGTTATTTATTTAGAAAAAAAAAAAAAGAACTCACGGTCATTATTATAGCTTTACTTGGGAGCAAACTTGCAGTCTAGATGATGCAGCGATACTGGCCGAGGATCAGTGCGCCTCCTGTGGACCTCGTCAGCATATATTCTCAATTTAAAAAGGGAAAAAAAAAACCCCCTGTTCTGGGCAATCTGTGCGTGCGCCCATCGTGACCTTTTTGGGAAATTTAAATTTTGGATGTATCTGACCGCAATTACGGCACGTGGTAGATGTACCTGACCGTAAATGTGTCCAGAGGGCAGTCGAAAATTCGCTAGTGTTGGTACGTGCTCTTGAGCCCCGGAGCAATTACGGTCTAATCCGATTTATTTGTTTTTGGGGAAATTCCAAATCCGATCTTGTCGTAATTGATGGTGAAAAAAAAAAAAAAAAAAGGATAGGTTCCACTTATCAAATCTTTTTTTTTTTTTTTTTTAATTCCAATCCATTTGTTTAGGTCATCGGGGTTTGAAATCGGGTTTTTTTTTTAAAAGGGGGGTTAAAAAAAAACCAAGGTTTAATTAAAAAAAAAAAAAAAAAAAAAAGGACAGTACCCCAACCCTGGGGGGTGTCAAAATCCACACATCCTTCACAACCTCCCTTCGGAGATGTTGAACGGGCCGTTCCACACCAATATCCAAACCACTTCTCTGACAAATGTCCAAGTGTTTTTTACTTTTACTTTTTTTTTTTTTTTTTTTTTTTTTTTTTTTGGGGAAAAGGTAGAGAATCCTTTATTCAAAGTTTAAACTTTGAGGCCGGAAATCTTCAACAAACAACCCGGATGTAACCAAGTCACCGGACTGTATCCAGCTTCAGTTTATCAGGTCCTTCTCAGCTTGCCGTGCACCTAAATCTGCCTTAGCAAGGAGGGAGCATGGGGCTTAACTGAACATAGATGTGTCGAGCTCGCTGCTCTTCTAAATCCTACAGCTACCGGTGCAGACCTAAAACGGTTCTGCTGAGCTACCGCTCCCTAGTGACACTCCATCCCCTTATCCTAAACAATAGCCACCATGCTCAACCAGCCTCCCAGTCTACTGTGACTATAAGAACCGAGTGCCCTGGTTTAAAGATCTGATTACCTACCTTTCCGAAAAAAAATTCAGGTTTTTTCCCATCCAATATCTGTCTAAAACCAATCTACGAAACGACAACAATCTGTAAATTTCTTATCATTGGTAACCTACGGCAACTGTATTTACTCACTATTCAAATCCAACGCATTTACAGCAAATCAAAATATAAAATAGCAATTACAGTCATTTTGCCTATAACGGCCCATTACGAACCATTATTACTTCAACCAAGAACAGTAAATCCAGTTTGCCTTGCAAGTCTACCTTCACCAACCAATTCGCCGAGTTACTGTGGGCCCAGGTTTTCAGAAACCAGCTGTAGCCCTCTTCTCCCTCGTGAGTTCCTTGGTTCCTCCTATTCCAGTCTTCTTTGATGTAGCGCCTCAAGTTTGTTCGGATCACCAGCTTGGTTTCTGCGTTCGGTGTACCTTTGCTCTGGAAGCAGGCCTTGTTCCTATTTTTCCAGATAACAGCAGTGAGGATGGCTCTGCAAGACTGAACCACATAGCCGCATCCTTCTGTTGCTTGGATATGGGAGGGTAGAAGGCCTTGCAGGACCCAGTCCTTATCCCACTCCCAGTCCCAGGCCGCAAAATCCTTCCAATGCCTCTCCCACCAAACCCAAATTCTTTTGGAGGCCGGGCAATCCCACCATAGGTGAATGGTTGACTCGAACGGCCATGTGCAGCGGTTACACCCCATCCTGATATCCATCCCCTAACCAGCGAGCCAGACTGCAGAAGGGGTAACCAACATTGAAAGAGCCAAAGAATTGTTGCATGCCTTTGAGAGGGAAGGATCTTCAGCTGAGTCCATAGCTTACTACCATGCGTCAGCACTTTTGGCCTCGAGCCACTGATCTGCAAATCCCATCTCTCGGCTGATACCGTGAGAGGGCGGCGAATGGGCAACAGTAACTCCTTCGACTCCTTCATATCAATCATGGACAACATGGTCCCATCCTTTCCTAATCTCCTCCAACCCCAGGCCGTCATGTCCAGTTTGCGTTCTCCAAGTGGAATATCACTTTTGAGAAAACTTTGTAGTCATCCTCGTTCCCCCATCTGATTGAAACTTTGATCTGTAAGAGTTGGTCTTCTGGTAGTGGTCTGAGTACTGGTAGAGAATCGATGGATGTTGGGTATTCGTTTGCCACTTGTTCCGTTGTTTCTGATTCACTATCCGAGGGCTCGATAGGATACAATTCCTTTGTGTCTGACCCCTTCTCCCATCTCCTGAACGTTCTGTCTCCAGCCTCCGTATAACCTGTCAACTCCCAGTAAACTGTTGGCTAAGTCTGCGAAATGGCAATATACCATGTGCCCGGAGGGTCTACTGCCTCAGGAGACAGTTTGTCCCTCCAGGCTACCGGTATGGTCTCTATCAGCTTGCCTAACTTGCACTCGATTCCACGAAGTTGACCCAGCACTACTTTCAGTTCCCCCACAAACTTCCAAGTTTCCAATATGTTGTCCCAAATGTCGCTGATCCGGAGTACACCTCTTGAGATCCATCTCTCTCCAAATGATCCCGGGTCTCGGTTTGCTCTGAATGGTTGCCCATCGACATCCTTGATGTGTGGATTGTCGAATAGCGGCTGGTGCAAAACTTCCAGCTTGGTCTGCGGTTGTGCCCACTCTGTGGGCTTCAATTTTTTCCAAGCCTTAATAACATCTGACCAGAAGCTGGAGTTTATCATTCTGTTAAGGTAAGACTCCAATTGCAGACAAAGCCACACGTCCTCCTCCCGTACTAGGCCCCATTCTGTGGCCAGGATTCGTTCACCCATTTGAACCCAGTGATCCGACCCATCACTGTCTGCTGCCAAAACTACCCAATATGCTAATTGCAGGCAGTTCAGCCGATGCGGGTCTTCGATGCCTAATCCTCCTTCCTCTCTGGGCTGGGAAATCAAATCCCAGGCGACCTTTGAAACAAATCCTTGATCCTCCTCGCCTCTCGGTTTCCAGATAAAATGAGCCGAGACCTTTCTCACTAGTGCAATGAGAGATGGGCTCAGCATTCTGACCTTTCCTACGTAACCGAGCAAGGGCAACAGGGACGATCTTACCACCATAGCTCTACCGAAAACCGACAAATGGGGGGCTGCATTCCATGATCTGATTCGAGAGGTTAGACGGTCCTGCAGAAGGCCCTCCTGAGCCGATTGGCAAGAATCCATAGATATTAAAACGCCTAAGAATCTCTCTGCCTCCCCTAAGTCAATCCTCCTCATTCCAAAGTCTACCTCCAAGACATGGTTGCGGGGCAGAAAGTAAACGGATTTTCTCCAGTTTACTGCTGCTTCCGAGAACAGAGAGTACTCCTCTAGGAGTGATTTCAATCCAAGTAGTGCATTTGCTGTGTTTTCACATACCGCAAATAGATCGTCAGCCAAAGCTTCCACTTTGCACATTGAATGTTTCAAGGCCATACCAACGATCTTTGGGCGACCTCGAATATTGCACATTAAGACTTCCAATTGGATTACAAAGAGGAGGGGGGCAAGGGGACAACCTTGTCGAAGCGAGCGCGTCAACGAGAACGGTTCCGAAAGGAAGCCATTAGCCAAAACGGATGTAGTAGAGTACGTATACAGCACAACCACCCATCTGCAAAAATTATTGCCAAATCCCATCTTTCGTAGAGTAGTAAGGACAAAACTCTATCGTAAGCTTTCTCTAAATCTAACAACAGAATGGCTAATGGCCTATCCTCCTTCAATCTCCACAATCTCCAGCGATTCAATCGTCGTAACAATATTCTCAAAACTTGACCGGCCCTGTACAAATGCCGCCTGGTCGTGATGAACCAGCTGAGGTAAGTACCTGGCTAACCTCCTGGCCAATGCTTTCGCTAAAATCTTATAGGAAACATTCAATCTCGAGATCGGTCGCCAGTTCCTTATTTCTTCCTTTGCACCTTTCTTAAAGAGAAGTGTGATGACACCATACGACATGCTTGACGAGAGATTACCACCTGTCAGAACATTATTATATATTTTCAACAGCGTAGGGGCTAAATCAGACCAAAACATAGAGTAAAATTCCACAGGGATCCCATCCGAACCTGGAGACTTCCCTTTCTGCATGGCTTCCATTGCCAACTTGATTTCAGGTTCCGTCAAAGGGCGATCCAAGTCCAAACTGGCGGAGTGGGTCAGTTTGGCCTCCACCAGGTCCCACAAATCAGACTGCAACTGCTGTTCCACAACCAATTCTCCTGCATTGCGTCTTGACGTCAAGATATCAGAGAAGAACAGCTCCGCATAATTGCAGATTTCCCGCGAGGTCTCTGCCACGTGTGCATTTTCATCAAAAGGGTGAAGTAGGGATTTCATCTCCCGGTGGGAAGATCGAGGTAGGAGGCGCTGAAAATTTTGCTTTGTCATGCGATCACCCGATACAATGCCCTTCGTAGCTAGGATCTCCCGCCATCTTACAAATTTTCGTTCCTGTATGTCATCCCACACCACCATTCTTTCTGCCCTTACCACTCCCCACCAGTGAGCATCGGTCGAACACTGAGGCAAGCTAGCTATCATTTCTTCCGCTTCCATCACCCTCTTCTAAGCACGAACTTCTTCTTTATTATCATGCAGAGCCAGAATTTTTTGAGAAGACACTCAGCATCGCCGAAATAAAATAAATACGAGCATCCCACCATGCTTCGGTGGACGAGAACAGGTGTTTTTTCTCTTCTCATTTCCGTATTTGCGAGACCGTCCAATCCCGAACCCTGGCATCCCTCAGTGTATCCACATTTAGCCTGAAAACACCCTTCCCCCGTTCGGGACTGTCACCCCACACGAATAGCAAAACAACCGGGATATGATCATGGGAGGGGTGGGGTTGTATTGAGATGTTTAGAGTAGAATCCAGGACCTGCTTACTGGTAACAAAATAGTCTAATCTCCGGGGACTAACTTTCCTTCCAGCTATCAGCTGTGAGGAATACCAGGTGTAGCCTGGGTCTGTGGGGTTAGATAATCTGAAGGGATCGTATAGATCCAATTCAGTTATCAAATCCAACAGGGCATCCAGGTCTCGGCCCACTCTGCCAATATGGAATAGAGGGTTGGCATCGTCAACAACCACATTCCAATCCCCGGCAATTACAATGTCCTGAACATCGGGAAGGATATCCCACAACTGCTCAAAAAATTCTTTCCTTTCGGACCGCTCGGTGGGAGCGTAAACAGCTACTAGAGCCCATTCCCTTCCTGCAGATCGTAATTTAATCCAGGCCCATTGACCAAGCTGGTCAAAGTCGTGGTCTATGATTTCTGCATCAGTGTTTCGGTGTAGCAGGATCGCTACCCCACCACGAGATTCGACTGTCGGAGCCCATACCTGCGGGTCATCCCACCACGCACCCAGCGCCTCCATTTTTTCCTGATTAAGTTTAGTTTCTTGCATACAGAGTGGTGTAATGCGGTTAGCATGAAGCCAGGACTTAATTCTTGCCCTTTTTCCTCTCCCACCTGTATCACCCAAACCCCGAACGTTCCAAGTTGCTACCTTAAACTGCAGCATCCTGATCAGGATTCTGCCTTGATTGGATGCGGAGTGACGGAATCCCAGCGCCTCCAGATTGGGAGATATTCATCCCAAGGCCCGTTTCCCACCTCTGAGTAATAAAAGCAAAAAATGACGCAGAGTTCAGGGCTCTTGCCTTGGGAATCTTCTGGCTCAGTTGACCTAGACATGAGGCGTCTACATCACCTAACACTCTGATTTTCTTCAATTCCGGATGGTAAGGGAACTCGAACCATTCCTTCGGGATCAAACGGAGACCCTATTCTACTAGGGTAAATAACGACTCCTGAGTAACTCTGGCATCCAAGGTAAAAAGCTTGGCCTTAATTTGTGCATGTTCTACGAAGAAACGCGGAGTGGGAATGTACGGAATATTCCTGACAGCTATATCCGAACCATAAATTATACGAGTGATGTTCAGAATATCCAACGACATAGGAGGTACAGAGATAGGTTGGGAGGGAAGACATGTTACCCCATGGTCAACTGCCCAGGCCAGCACGAAGGTACCTTCCACCGTAGCTACAAAGAGCAGTGGGAGAAGGTGCTTTTCCCAATCTTGATCCCCACTCTTGGAGTTGGTGGACTGACGACGATTCCTTTTGGATGAAGCTTTGGCCGAGGGTATTAGTGCCTGTCTTGGGGTTGACGACGTTGAAGGTTCCGCATTAATATCCTCCTCAATCCTAAACGCCTTCATATCTTCGCTCAATCTTCTTCGTAACTTCGTAGGAGTTGTCTCCTTCCTTGGACCTTGGCTTGAGCTTGCCGATGCATGAGTGTGCGTCCCGCCCGATGGGCCTTGGGGGATGGCTGACAAAGTTGCCACCCCACCTCCACCCGTTTCCTTCCGAGGTATGAGACCGCTATTCCTTTCCTCGTTTTCGCCCCTACTCCTCGAGTTCAATCTCGACCCTCTATCCGCCTGAGGGGTATTGCCATCTCCTTCCCTCCCCGCGCCTCTCCCATCCGGTGAGAAGGATGGGTTATCTCTGACTGTCATCCCCGCCGCTGTAGCCTGCGTCGGCTGCAATCGCCCTCCTATTGGACCCAAAGGGCCCGGGTACGTCGGTTGCTTGGGTCTTCCACCATCCCTGCTGGACGTCCTTAAGGGTGATGCCGAGCATCTTCCTATCGTCCTTGTTGGTGACGGTGGCCTCCCGCCACTCCTGCTCCCGCCATGGCTGCTTGGTTGGTGACTACTACTTGATGATGACGAGGTACTGGGGGTTGGACTAGGAGCTCTTCTTCGCCCTTGTCTCGTACAGTTGTCTACCACATGGAAATATCGACGACACCGACTGCACCATGGAGTCTGCGCATTGGCAACTTTCAGCTCAATCAATTGTCCTTGAAAGGTTGTAAAAGAGATAAACTCTTTCAACCTCGGGAGCGACTCCAATGCCATGTCCATTCTCACATTAATGAGTTGAGGAGTCCTCGCGTCACGTTCCGAGGGATGAACTTTGAGAACCTGGCCAATCGAGTGCTCCGCCGCCGATTCAAGATAGCAGTACGCATCGATAGGGACGTCCAGTACTTTAATCCAAAAGTAGTTCTGTGACACCTCCTTCCTCGCGTCTTGCAATTCTTTCTTGGTTTGCCAAGGCTTGAAGGCAATACTATGCCATCTTCCCCTTAAAGCCACTCTGTTTTCCCCCTCTTGAATCATCCATTCAGTAACTCTGATGTCCTTCGCAATATACGACAGGACGTTACTCGACTCGATGCAGACTCGCCCTCGGGTGATGGCCGGATCAAACCTTCCTTCGCCCATCCAAATGTCTTCGAACGCCCGGATGACCTCTTCTTCAATCTTCTTTGGAAGATTTTTCGAACCTTCCTGGAAGATAACCGTCACCGTCCTCTCCTTCAGCCATTTTACCTTGATCTCATCCAACGAGGGATTCAAGGTAAAGTGGGCTTTATTCCCCTCTTCTTTCAACTCACCGATGTCCCACCCTGCAGGCAGAATCCCGATGTCGAAACATTTCGACAGCATGTCTCGAACACGCTCCTCCTCCACCCAGTAGTTTGTCTCTGCTGGGGGGTGGGATCGATTTTGAGCATTAGCCACACCCTCCTCCTCCGCCCGATGAGCCGGGGATACGGCTACCCCATCAGCCCCGATCATCCCTACGTCCCCCCCATGAGGTTGGGGCATGGAGATACCAGGGTCATTACCGACTATCGCCCCGTCAATTTCCATGGTAGTAAGCCGCTTCCTGGAGTTTACAGGCGAGCTCCAGCCTTGGTTGAAGTTTGTACAAATAAACCTTAGTATGAGAATCAATGGAGATGGTGAATCAGCACCTACGTCCAGTTTGAGATTTCGAGACCTTAGGCTAGCCTACACGAGAGACTAGGTCAGACATGGCTGAGTCCTAAGCTCTTCGCGTAAACCCTCACTCCAGCAAGGTGGCAGGGTAATGGTGGCTAGGCCAGTAAGCAACTGGCAGTGGCGGGACCGAGCGCTAACGCACCGTGAACTGGCACCCCCTCCTCCTTTTCTACATTTTTCCATCTACAGTCTGTGTGGCGAAGAAAAATGTCAAAAACTCCAGTTTCGCCACAAGGCCGTAAGTCTGGCCCTGTTCTCGGGGGCTAGGTCCCACTTGCACGAATTAAGAGATACTGACCGTAGATAGCAAAGATCAACGGCCGAAATATCGTAATTTGCACAAGTGGGACCTTGCCCCCGGGTAGACTGTGCATGAGCTGTCGAAACGTCCCCCTGAGGAGGCTGGATCTGGCTCCAGGCGAAACGCGTCGGGGAAAAGCCAGATGCGGTGACGAAAGTCACGCATGCTGTGCGGTCAATTTCCTGTGCACTAGCGTTTTGTTTCGAATCATTGATCTAATCTGTGTATTCTGAGTTTTCTTTGGTAAACAAAAGCGCTGCATGTGTGTTACGACATATTTGCACTGCTATCAATCTACCCGGGTAGACTGTGAGGACCCCTGAGGTCCCACTAGCAAAAAGGATAGGATAGAGATCCTGAATCTGGATGTGTTTTATGCAGAGATGCAGAAAAGCAGTTCAATCTCGATTTCCTGCACATCTCGATAATCTCGTCCAGATTCGGGCATTCTATCCGATCGTCTTTGCTAGTGGGACCACGCCCCCGGCCTCAAATAGTTACTATAAGGGACGTTGGGCCGGTTCCCAACACGTGCCGCTCTCCACGAACAGAATGGAGCCAATGTGTTAAAAAAAAGAAGAAAAAGAAAAGAAAGGAAAAAGAAAGGCGGGAAAAAGAAAAAAAAAAAGCGCCAGCGTGGCAGCAGGGCGAAGTACACTTATGGCCGTTGATCGACCGGCCCTTTACATTGTCGGTGCACCTGCGCTACCAGAGAACGGGAAGTGGGGCCCGCTGCACGAAACAACATGATATTTGTTTCTGGATGACCACGCTGTCCAAATGCATTCGAAATGTTGGATCAGTTCGAAAAGTAGAATGCTGAAGGAAAAAAAAGAAGGGAGTAGAATGCTGTGGTGTAAAAGCGAAAAAAAAAGAAGAATGCTGTGATGTGGAACAAGTTCCTCCAAAAAAAAAAAAAAAAAAAAAAAAAAAAAAGAACAAGTTCCATGTTTGGGACCACTACGCAGACCATTGTCCTACGGACCTAGATACTTCCTCGCTGGTCAATGGGCTTCCGTCCACTCCACAATTTTCTCTCGTGTATTTGGACTGTTTCCTCGCCCAGATGCATCCCGACGAACAATTTGAATGTATCTGGACCACTTCCCAGCTCATATTACACCTCAAACGTTGTGTAGTCTAGTGGGGGCCCGATGAAGAATCTGGGACCTCGCTCCAGTGGGGGTTGATCAGGCCCACCTGTCCGAAAGGGGGAGCGGAAGGGGGAAAGCAGCGGCTGGTCGCACGCCTGGACAGGGGACGACCGAGTTTAGTGGACCGTCTACCGGTCGTTCGGAAACTGCTCCTGCCTGCCGGCGAATGGTGGTGCGAGTCGTATTCTTTCTGTAAAAAAAATAAAAAAAATGGTAGTGCGAGTCCAGCAAATAATTAGAAAGAAAAAAAAAATCCAATCTAAAAAAAAAACAAAAATTAAAAAATTATCCAATCATTAAGGAAAAACAAAAAGGGAAGTCATTGTCGAGTCAGCATGATCAGGCGCAACAGTTGTCGCTTCTGATCTGCCTATTTGTTACCGATAGGGCCGAGCTCCACCACTGCTTGACAAAAGAAAGACGAGTGTATCGGCACAACCTTTCCGGCAAGATACACGCGTCAATGAAGCATGTATCAGGCAGCATAATCCGTGAACATACACGCGCGATGTTACACAGTTGGTAACTCACAGGAAGGCCTATAATTAGGTGATGGCGAGGATGGGCCCGAGTATGGGCCTGGCTCCATTACACAACGTTCTTGTCCATTCCGGCATTTGGAATGTACATGCTTCCCCACATTTACCAGATACATCCGAAATGTTGTGCAGTACTTACTCTTCCTCTCTTCTCTCTTCTCCTCTCTGCCCTCCCCCTCTCTCCCTCTCCCCCTCTCCCTCGGCCTTCTCTCTCCCCCTCTCCACCTCCTTTCTCTCCCCATCCACCTCACCCACCTCTCTCTCCCCTTCTCTCNCCTCTCTCTCCCCTTCTCTCCCTCTCTTCCCCCCCTTTCCCCCCGCTCCTCCTCTCTCTTCCCTCTCCCCCTCTCCCCCTTTGTCCCCACTCTCCCACTACGGAAACGATATAAATAGGTCTTGTCCTATCCCCGCCTCCTTCCACTGTGTATGAGCTGCGGTGGACAAGTCTGCCCTCTGTGATTAAAAAAGCAAATAGGAAAAAAAAAGCCGGTGTACGCGCGGGAAGAGGGGGAGAAGAAAAAAATGTTTTTTTTTTTTTTTTTATGAGCGTGGCGGGAACACGTGGGGAGGAAGGGTGGCGGGAGCCAATGAAAAAAACAGACAAAGAAAGAAAACAAAACAGACAAAAAGTTTTTTCTTCGTTTCTTTTTTTTTCCGAGTTATAGGACGGCACGGCGGGCTTTGGGCCTCGTCGCACTACTCGCCATCCGCTAACATTTTGATTGCATGTGGACATCAATTTGTCCAGATGCATTCGAAATCTTGGCAGAATGGCAACTAAGGCCTTTGTTTCGTACCGCCCCGCCCTGCTGGGGACGAGGTCCCAGTACATAACCAAAGAGGATTGTGTTCAAAGCCCTGAATCTCGACATGTTCGTGGAGATGTGGAGAAAATCGCCATTGCTCTGCTTTTTTTTTTTTTTTTTTTTAATAAATTGCTCTGCTTTTCTTTTTTCTTCTTCTTCTTTTTTTTTTTTAACACGGCTCCGATCTATTTGTGGGGAGCTACACAGCTGGGAAACGGGCCCAGCGTCCCTCCATAGATTGCTCTGCTTTTCCGCATCTCTCCATCTCCATAAACCACACCCAGATTCGGGCGCCATATCCAATCCTCTTTGCTACCTTTTCGTCTCCGAATACAACGCATGGTCATTGCAGCTGTATTTGGACTGAAACAGTGCGTTGTATTCGGGGGAAGACGGATAGTTGGACCTTGCCACCGGGGGCAAGGTCCCACTTGCGCAAATTAGGAGATCTTGGCCGTTGATCTCTGCTATCTAAGGTCAGTATCTCTTAATTCGTGCTAGTGGGACCTAGCCCTGGTCCCATTAGCAAAGAGCTTAGGATTGAATGCCTGAATCTGGACGTGTTTGAGGACAGCCGGAAATCCAGATAGAACTGGTTTTCTGTATCTCTGCATAAAACATAGCCAGATTCAGGATTTCTATCCTATCCCCTTCGCTAGTGGGACCACGGCCCTGGGGACGAGGAGAAGTGCCCTGCCCGTAGCCGGGCCACTGGCCAAATGTGAAAGAAGCGAAAGCTACCGCGGGCCCGGTGTACATTGCCATGATCTAAGGAAAGATACATGCTCCAGATTGCACAGTGTTTTTTTTTTTTTTTTTTTTTTTTTTTTTCCAGATGGAATTTTATTTCGAACGGGCCCGTGCCCAAGTGAAAAGGAGACAGAGAACTGACTCATATGGACACACAACCGTGAAAACCACGGCGCAAGCTGTGTGATAAAACAATCTCGATAAGATATCAAAAGGACAAAAGACATAGCTCCGAGAAAAAAGATCGTAGCATGAAGCTACGATACTCCTCCGTCCTCACCGCAACACCGTCGAACAGAGAAGCCTGGCGTTCCCCGACTAGTTTCGACCGCTGCCAGTAGCGGCCTCATCAGGGGGATCGAGATGATGAAACCTACCTATGAGTGATCTATATAAGCTTCTCCGTAAAAAGGCGCGTCGGCTAGACCGCGTTATTATCCTCCCGCACTTTGCTTCCAGCAACACTGTTACTCATAATTCGCCTGTACCTGGTTTATAATCCGTCCAGTTTCAATTACTACTACCATCATTCTTCGCTATCCGATGTCTAAGGCCCAAGTTACGACCTCAGTTTCAGTTTCACTTTCTACCCCTTACCAGCTCAGTCTGCTGTCAGCTGGTCCGAACCTGGTAAACTTCCCGCCAACGCGGGGGCTTCGAAAGCGCAGTCACGCTATTCGTATTCTCATCGATCTTCATGAAATGCTCCAACCGATATCTGACTGTGGCAAATCCTTCGGCGGATTCCTGGAGTTTTTGTCCGTAACGACCAGGTCACGTAAAAACTTTTTATCAGAGTTTCCACCGAAAACGTTGCTTCATCAAGACCCGGGTTGAAACGAAAAAACTCCCGCTACTTTTCTTTCTATCGGCTACAGGGGTAAACGGGCCGAGTTACAGTGAACTTAACCAAGTTCACGGAAAATAACCGTCTGATGTTGCTCCGAAGATTCCCGCTTATTTCGCGTGCGTCTTTTATTCATAAAGCTCCTTCTACTTTTTTAAAAAACAAAAACAAAAACCCAGAAAAACAAACCCCGGAACCAGGAAATAGAGCAAACCAAAACCAGAATAAAAAACAGAAAACCAAAAAACCAAGAAAAGTAGTACTTTTTAGGAAACAGAGCAAACCAAAACCAGAATAAAAACCAGAAAACCAAAAAACCAAGAAAACCCCTTCCTTCACCATAAAATGTTCATCATTTCCTACTACCCAGCTTCGTCTCCCATTGCCAGCGCCCCCCCCTTTTTTTACCAGCCGCATAACCGTGTTACCCATCTATCCCATGAGGGGGCGTGCTTTCGAACAAACCCAGCTAGGCATACGTTAAACATCTGAGCCGGGTAATCCTGCCTGCGTAGTTGCCTCTTGACCGTCAGCAGGGCTAGCCCAGCAAGCTCATCTGCTGACGTCATCAT